CATCCTCGGCCGGTAGAGACCAGGTTCTACAAGCTTACAGTAGTACAGCTCGCACCGACGCGTAAACCCGAGTCCTTATAGGCAGACTAACATTACAACAGAGCGGAAGAAAGTTCAGATCGTCACAAGCCATTCTGGCTTTCACTATGCATAGATTGATCTGATGATAAGCCAACACCAGCGTTCAGCTTCTTACTAATCATGAATAAGTATTTCGGATTTGGAAGGTGTAAGACACATGCTATATTTATAAACACCAAGTACCAATTGAAAAACTGAGGATTGAATTAGTTCCGTGTCATCGCACAATAAGACAATCTTATTAGCATACAGAAGGTAGGAAAGTCATTTTACAGTTAATCCTGTAATGCAGAAAGGTGGTTGCATACCCTCACTCTACCTGGTTTATTTGTGTATGGATCTTCCAAGATATTAATAAACTTCACAGAAAAATCCTTCCCTAGAAGACAATCTCAAATCAGGTTTCTATCCTACAAATCAGAGACAACCTTAATATCAAGAGATATGAAGACTGTTGATCTGCAATAAGTATGATAGTGGTCTAACATTTGGAGTCAGTCAGTCAGTCAGCTACAACGTAGGACCAGGCACATATGTGCATCGGTCCAGGTTGCCATACCGCATCAGCACAGCAAGATGAACACCGGATTCATAGCAGTGGTTAGGTCAAAGGTTGCAATAAGGATATAGTATAGGAAGAAAGAATTAGTTCGTAGACAGAAAGAATGAAGTGATTTTAGTCTCTTAGTTTAAAAGAAGACAGGGAGTGTATACACCGACGCCATTGTGATCGATTCTGAGCCATGTCACCAAGAGTCTCCAACCATTGGTTACGAAAGTCACGCGGACCCCAACCAAGTAGTCTGCATCTACCAACATGGCTCAGACTAGAAGTTAGTGACTTCATGCACTGATGCCACGTTTTGGTTTGGCCGCCCCTAACTTTCTTCCAACCATCCCCTACCCCGGTTAGCATTGCATGTCGTGGTAATCGGTGTTCAGGCATACGTAATACGTGGCCCAACCATCTCAGTCGATGAAGATTCATAACCTCTTCAACTGATTTACCATCATTCCCTAATACCCTGCGTCTAACCTCACTATTACTTACCCGGTGATCCCAGCAGATGCCAGCAATATTTCTAAGGCATCTGTGGTCAAATACTAGTAGCTTACGGGTGTCTTCTACTCTTAAAGGCCATGTTTCGCTGCCGTAAAGTAAGACAGAACGGACTGCCGCGCAGTATACTCGTCCTTTTATTGATAGACGGATATCTCGCCTCCGCCAAAGGTGACGTAAGTTGGCAAAAGCCAAACGAGCTTTTCGAATCCGTGCTGAGATTTCGTCAGACACCAACCCATTAGGTCTGATCAGACTTCCAAGATAAGTGAAGTTGTCAACGCGTTCGACTACTTCACTCCCTATCCTTAGTTCAGGTGTTGACGCAGACCAGTCCTGAAGCAACAACTTGCATTTAGAGGGAGAGAAGTGCATCCCAAACATTCTGGCATTGTTGCTTAGTACTACCAGAAGACTGCATTCTATCAGCGTCTTCACCAAACAGGACTATGTCATCTGCGTATTCTAAGTCGATAAGTGGACCTCCTGGAAGGAGATCAATACCCGAGAATTCAGTCGACGAGAGTGTTATTTCCATCAATAGGTCTATGATGAAGTTAAACAGAAATGGAGAAAGTGGACAGCATTGACAGACACCACTTGAAGTTGCAAAAGTAGATGACAGTTCGCCATAAGCCCTGACTCGACTAGTAGTGTTCGAGTAAAGAGCCTTCACAAGGTTTATGTACTTCTGAGGTACGCCTTTCAATGACAGACACTGCCACAGAGTCTCGCGGTCTACCGAGTCAAATGCTGCTTTTAAGTCAAGAAAGACCACCATCGTCGGACGCCGATAGGTATGCCTGTGTACTAGAACCTGACGAATGGTGAATATGTGGTCGATGCAGCCACGACCAGGTCTAAAGCCAGCTTGGTTCTCTCGAGTTTGTAGTTCACGAGTCTTAGTTAGGCGTTTGATAATTATCGAGGCCAGTATTTTAGATACTATGTTTGTTAAACTAATCCCTCTGTGGTTGTCACAGGATGATTTTGACCCTTTCTTATATATTGGGACGATAAGTGATTGCGACCAGTCAGATGGGATAAAGTCTAATTCCCAGATCTTAGCTAAAATATTAGTCAACTTAATCGCTAAAATTGGACCACCATCCTTAAAGACCTCTGGAGCCAATCCATCTGGACCAGCTGCCCTTCCTCGTTTCAGATTAACTATAGTCTTTTGAACTTCAGCAAGAGTCGGGGGACCTACTTCAATGTTCCATTCACACTGTCTGGGAATGGAGGGTAGTTGTAGAGTAGCTGAAGGCCAGCTGAACTGTTCCCTAAAGTGTTCCGCCCATCGTTCTAAACGCCTGGACTTGGAGCAGATGAGTGTATCGTCTTTTTCCGATATAATCTCACTTACACTTGACTTATTAATTCCAGTTTCTTTTATTAGTCTGTAAAGCTGTCTTGTGTTCCCTATAGTCGCCGCCTTTTCCATCTCTTTTGCTTTCGTTGCCCACCACTGCTCACGGTCGTTTCTTAGACTTTTTCTTAACCTAGATCTGATTTGTTTTCGCTCTTCATCATGTTCAGAACCTGATGGGACGAGTTTGCGAGAATCCATCAGTGTGACAGACCTTGAAGAAATTCACTGGTTCCTTGCAACTCTGTGGTTTAAGTCACAAATAGATGTCACTGCTGTTTCCACAGCTGATTGTATGCCCTTCCAAGCAACATCTGGGTCAGCCTCGTCTTCACAACTACCTAAGTGTGACCTCAGTTGTTCCTGGAACCTACTTTTGGTTTTCTCGTTACTCAACTCAGTTCTAACGGGTCTTTTTAATGTGGCTTTTTTGCGTCCAGTGAGGCGCAAGCAGATGCGTGCCCGTATTAGGGCATGGTCGAAGTCCAAGCAGTTACTCCAGAATGAGCGACAATCTTCTACCGACCCTCTCCAACGATGATTGATGGCAATATGGTCTATTTGAGTCCATCGTTGGTTTGGTGTAAGGGGTCGCCATGTTAGACGATATCTCTCCTTATGCTTAAAATTTGTGTTTGCTAAAAATAAACGATTGTCTGAGCATAGCTGCAGCAGACGATCACCATTATCTGTTCGCTGTGTCGGAATACTAAAATATCCACCTAAATGCCTTTCTGTTTGGTTTAGGCTACCTATCTGAGCATTAAAGTCACCCCCTACGAGTACTATGTCTGAACGTTTAGCTTTCTGAAGAAGTTCGGACAGCTTTCTGTAAAATTCATCTTTCACATCATCTGAGCTGCAGTCAGTGGGAGCGTAGGCAGAAACGACAAAAAGGCAACGACGTGTGTCCCTATCCTTCCGAGTTCTTACGTAGCCGTTCAGCCGAACAGCACATAGACGACTGTTGACGGGGATCCACTCTAGCAGTGCTTGTTCGGCCCTCATGCTTAGTCCTATGCCTACTCCTGCCAGTCCACGAGAACTTGCCATCGGGTCACCAGATACACGAAGGGTGTATCTCGTTGGCTCTCCGTTTTGCCGAGGTGAGGTCAAGTGAATAACCACACTGGAATCCTGTATGCGTGTTTCGGAGACACAGTACACGTCAATGGTAAGAGACTCTAGGGTTTTAGCCAAGGAAGCCTGCTGACCGATTTGACATAGGGTTCGTACGTTGAAGGCTCCAATGTGTAGTTTGGAGCGAGGTTTCAGTAGACCTGGGACAGTGTTTTGCGCACAAGAATCGTTGGCTATGGTGACACTTGAGGTGGAAGCCGAGAGAGGAAATTTAAAGTTGAAAGTCGATGTAGGAGGAATAATAGGAATTGAAGAGGGATGTTGATTATGAATACAGTGGTCTTGCGTGCTGTTAGAGGTGTGAGGGCGGTTATCACTTCCCGGTTGCCCACACCGAGGAAGGGTTCTTCTGGAGGTACCTGAAAAGGAAATTGGATTAAAGGTGGTCTTAGTGACCTGAGAGCGTGACCGCAGTGCCCAAGGGACAACTGCTTGAGGTCGGTCACATACGACCTTGTTATGGGTAATTTTTGTGTTAGCTCCGTACTTATTGAGACCTTACCGCCGGAGACGGATATCCGTGGGATAAGGCGAGGTGTGTGTTTTTAGGGTCGACCTTTTCTAACCCCACCCCTCCTTGTGGGAAGGCAGCATCGCTGTCATGCTGGTTTTCTGAAGGAAACACCTTACTGCTGTCACCCCTCTGTACAGTCAGCAGTACGACTTTGCCTTCGGACCTTGGGTTTGTTGCTTTTAGTCTTACCGCTCTTCAACCGACCTTTCTGACGTGGTAGGACTTGAGGAACAGTTGTTCCAGTCAGTATAGCTCGGTTGCTTCTTCACGATAGGCAAGCCCGACCACCACGTCAAGGTAGCAACAACGGTCGGGCAAACTACATCTACTCAGGGAGATAAAATTATTTAAATAAATGTCAGAGTATTAGAAGTAGTGATATTATTAACGGTAGTAAGAGAATGGATGATTGTGTTGACTAAAGAAAATTATAACATAATTTTCAAACTTAAGATCACAGTAAAGAGGAAAGATGAATATATCTATGCTATTTCAACCGATCCTTCGTTATGTCATATTCATAGCATAAAACCCCAACTAGATAGTCTGTATAAATCTAACAGTCAGCGTTTTAATGGACTGATGTCATGTTTCGGTTCGACTGTCTCTAGCTTTCGTCCAACCTAACGTATCCAGGCAGTTGATAGTTGAGCATATCTAATATGTATCCCAACCATTTCATTCGATAAAGATTCACCATCTCATCATTCAAATCAATTATTGTATTGAATGTTATTTCATTTTCTGACTAAAATATATATCTATTTATGATTCTCTCATAATTTAAAAGATAAGTGAAGTGTGTCTCTTTCTTCTTCATATATAATTAATTGTAGCTTTCACGTCAACATCAACAAGCTCGTGATAAGTTAACATCTATTGAATTAGCTGAACAAGTAACATTTGAACAATTCTCTAGTATTTTACGTCATTCACAAGCTGAAGAACGCATTCAAGCTAGCCGAATGCGACAATGGACTGTTGGATTTAGTTTAGCTGCTGGTTTGATTGGTTTTAGCGCTACATGGATACGTTTTCGTCAACTTGATAAGCAAAATGCATCATCACTTCGCCTAACTTCTGCAACTGGTCAGGTATGTTTATTTTACCTAGTTTATGCAGAATCGGTCAAGTTTTAGTGTGTATGTGTGAGGTTGAGCGATTTTTTTATTATGACCGTATGGTTTTAAAGCCATTCTTGTCTTAGCTAATCGGCAGAAAGACTGTATCAATCAAATGTATTTCGTAACAGAATTAAGAACAGTCTGTCAGAATCCAATGATTTTAAGATTACTGGTTTTCCAAGTCCTATTATCGGTTTTCTTATTTCAATGTTGTAGAACTGTCACCATATAACACTATAGGTCTGGGTGGGAGTTTATTCACAGAAAACGTTTCTCTTTAAGTCTTTCTTGTAGCTTTAAATAGTCATTACTCGTAAAATCTGATTTAAATAATTCGTTGAGGATTTGCGAAGGTAAAATTACAAACATACTATCACTATGGTCATTATGAACACGAAGTTGTATGAAAAAAATCGCCCTCTTTCGGCATTGCTACTCTACCAGGTTGTCTGCTATTCTAGTGAGAGATTACTTATTTACGCCTGTTACCCCTTCTGGAGGAGCATAGGCTGCCCACCAGCATTCTCCATCCAACCCCGTCCTGGGCAATACTTTCCAGTTGTTATTCATCCATTCATATCTGCTTCCAATCTCCGACGCACTGTATTCCTTGGTCTTCCTCTTTTGCGTTTCTCTTCAGGATTCCAAGTTAGGACTTGCTTCGTGATGCATTTCGGTGGTCTCCAGAATGTGTCCTATCCACTTTCGTCGTTTTTTCCTAATTTCTGGAATCTGCTTTGTTCTTTCCCACAGTATGCTGTTGGTGGTGGTATCCGACCAACCAACAATTATAAATATATCTCGTATTTTTTTATAGTGAAGCATAAAAATAATCCGTTTTTGAATTTCCCACCAAAACCAGTCTCCTTGTTTCTGATTGGCTAATATTATCAGTATAGGGTTGTGGAGATGGTTGAATTTTATCGATGTCACTAACCGATATAAGTTAGACAACCATCGTCCTAGTATGGGACTTTAGCAGGTCATAGTGAACGTAATGAGAGGCCGTCCAGTGCTTCCAGATTTTCGATTGTTGTCTAACTTAAATTAGTTCGTGATATCAATGAGCTTCGACAATTCCCACAATCCTATATTGATAATCATCATGTGTTCACCAGTGGATAGCTTCGAGAGAAAATTCCCTGAGGTCTAATGACAAGCCGTGACGAGTGGAGTTCAACCGTATCAGCTGTGAGGAAGTTACTTACCAAAGATGGTCGTCCAATGTCATTAATTGATTGAAATAAAAATTTTACGTCGTTGGAGGTCAGGGTTTCGAACGCGAGTCCGAAGGTTTTGGGTCAGATGCCTGGTTGCGGGGTCGTGGATGTGCAGTGGTGAAGAGTCCCATACTGAAAGGAAACGGCCATCTAGTGTTTCTAGTTTTTCAATGATTGTCTATCTTACATCGGTTCATGGTATTAATAAAAGATTGTGATTAAAATCACAGTAATGCTTCTCATGCATTAATACCTGTATAAACAGAAGTTGATAACTTGGTAAACCTTCGTAGTGTCTTTTTATGTCTACCTATGGTAATAATTCCATTTATCTTCAATATGCACCAATTAGGAATTTATTATTGGGACTTCTATAGTGGAGATTTTATTTTTTGTTGTCTTTTATTTGTTTCATCTTAGCCAACTACTGAGTACTCCTTCCAAGATATAACTTCCAGTCTTCACTCATCCAATCAGGTAGGTTGCATTAATTTTTGTTTGTCGAAGATAAGTTTAATATTTTATAAAATTTGCATCTAATTTGAGGTTTAATAACTGATGGATATGAAGAGCGTGTTAAAGTAGTTTTAGGTGGTTGACAAGAAACTTTGTCACTTGGATTAATAGTTAATACATTGCAACGTGATCAATAAAATTCAATTTTCCCTAAAGGATTGGATAGACATGACATCAGTCATTCTCTTCAGTTGATATTAGATTATGATGATGATGTACCGAAAGGTTCTAGTCATACTTTATACTTGTACTCATATACCTCACTATCAAATGATAGACGAGCAATTATAAACATGGCACATTGTTGTAGGACATTGATTGTGCATTCACATAAGATCTCAGCTTCCATGTCCTTTTCGGATTTAGAAAAACAATTTGTATATATATATATTAATGATTTGTGTACTTGACTGCTCAATTTTACCAATTACATCTTCCAAGGTATTCCTCAGTTTTCTCAACTGGATTTATAGTTAAGCAAGCGTATAAGAAGCCTGGATATTGCAACCGATTGTCGTGGATTGAGTGTAACACATAAAAACCAAACTTCTAATGTGACAATCTACATTTTCTCTACATCCTATCGATTGACAAGTCTTATGTAATTCCTAAGTTATGTTCATGTAGTTCAATACAATACAATATAAGGTCTCACCTCGGATTGTGACATAAGCTGGCATTCTCTATTTCTGAGAATATCATGATAGCTTCGGTAATGCAAGGAGTCCTATAATTTTTAATCACTGCCCATAGGTTATTAATTCATGATATAATCTCTCCCTTACAAGATCAGTTGTCTATTCACTTATTACTTTACGATTATATGTAATTCTTATTCTACATGCATAGAAGTATGTGATCTGTTTACATTGTAGAGATTAAAAACAACATTGGATGACTTAAATCAAATAAAAAATAATTTGAACGATGTAAGTTCTTGTTGTTAACTTCTTTTCTTTATATCATTTTAAAAAAGTTGCGTCGATCGTGTGTTCGTTTGATTTTCTTTATTCTTTCTCCCACAAATTTACAACTGAATTTTAACTTATTCATCCATTTAATGAAGCATTGGGTCATTGGTTGTCGTGTTCAACTTTTAATCGTTAAGTTTGTAGTCTGAAACTGCTCCACTTAATTTGGTGCAGTCAACTGAGTGGTAGTAGTGTGGTGTATGCTACTTATATCTGTCAGCATAAGTAGTATGTAACATCAATCGAAAGTGGAAGACCTGGCAACAGAAGGCTAAGAAGATCGAGTTGAAAAGAATAAAAGGGAAAATACAAATGAATTGTGAACTGGAAGAACCATACTGAATATGAAAGACACGTGATGGAAATTTTCGAGTGAAGTATATGATTCCTATATGTTACCAAGAGAGTCTAATTTTATATTTAAATACATCAGTTGTCCCCACCTGTGTTCTCGTTCATTATAGTAGTAGTAGTATAGTGGACGCTACTCACAAAATTGCTTATAAAAAGCATGCAGTGGAGGGCTGCGTAGGAGTTGCTGCAATCAACAGTCGGAGATAGGAGTTTCAGCAGGCCTAAAGGGCGACGAATCCGGAATAACTGTGAGACCAGAAGTGAAGCTATAGAAGATAGTCCACAACCAGCTTTGGTTGTGGAATACATTAAAGACTAAATGTATATATTTCATAAACAGTCAGTGTTCCCTCTAAATAAATGTGTGTGCCTTAAAACCAAGTAAATCGATCTGTACATGTTAATTGAGTCATTGATCATTTAGGCGTTCAGTGTGGTTATAACACATAGAGATTAATTTCAATTCTCTTACCACATATCACTAGTGAACACTTTCCTCTACCCGTACACGATGTTAAATATTTGACCACTTATCCAGGATTAAATAGATACAAAAAACAATACTGTATATGGTGCACAAAAAAGGAGTCTATGAATGCAATTCTGCTGTAATATGTATACCTTTCTGACAAGCACTAACTGGCACAACATTTAAATCTAGTGTTTCTTAATAATTGGTTCAGATCATCTATAGCCATACAAAATGTACATTGGGACTCCTCTCCATCTTCATTGGATTAAAGAGCCGATTAATATGATTAGCTTTGGCATAATGTTGCCTGTAGTCCAGTTAGAATGATAGCTTAGTGGTTAAGCCATTCAACTTTCAGCCAATAAATCGTGTATTTGAACTCCTTTCCACTTACTTCGATTTAACAACTGGATAGTATCATCAACTCTCACATTTTAAATGAAACCTAAAGCCAAATACATGAATCTGTACCTGGTAAATTAGTTAATAGTTCAATGCATAAAGTTGTATTTGATAAATGAGTTACATTGTTCTTATGTTAAATAACTAATAGACTGATAATTATACTTAAGGTTGAATAAAAGAATTTAATTAAAAAATAAGAATTAAACAATATGAAATTAACTACTACAAACTAATCAAATAGCATTAGATGGTTGACGATCAATCTGTTATAAATCCCGCTCAATCTAGGTTTTATGTTATAGCTAACAATTGAAAACAAGACGTAATTGTGTAATCTTCTGAATGAACTGATGTTCTCTTTTTAAGATTCTAGTAGTGTAACAGCATATATTTTTTTCCTGAAAATTCCAAATCACAAATTTCATATAGTGAGCTCTGTAATTTTTTGAATTAAAATAGAGCACTCTTCCTATTCACTATTGATTTTTGAACTAACCTGAAGATGATCTTTTTGAAGTATCGATTTTTCGGTTTTCCAAGTTAATGACTAGTCATTATTATTATTATTATTATTATTATTACTAGTAGTAGTAGTAGTAGTAGTAGTAGTAGTAGTAGTAGTAGTAGTAGTAGTAGTAGTAGTAGTAGTAGTAGTAGTAGTAGTAGTAGTAGTAGTAGTAGTAGTAGTAGTAGTAGTAGTAGTAGTAGTAGTAGTAGTAGTAGTAGTAGTAGTAGTAGTAGTAGTAGTAGTAGTAGTAGTAGTAGTAGTAGTAGTAGTAGTAGTAGTAGTAGTAGTAGTAGTAGTAGTAGTAGTAGTAGTAGTAGTAGTAGTAGTAGTAGTAGTAGTAGTAGTAGTAGTAGTAGTAGTAGTAGTAGTAGTAGTAGTAGTAGTAGTAGTAGTAGTAGTAGTAGTAGTAGTAGTAGTAGTAGTAGTAGTAGTAGTAGTAGTAGTAGTAGTAGTAGTAGTAGTAGTAGTAGTAGTAGTAGTAGTAGTAGTAGTAGTAGTAGTAGTAGTAGTAGTAGTAGTAGTAGTAGTAGTAGTAGTAGTAGTAGTAGTAGTAGTAGTAGTAGTAGTAGTAGTAGTAGTAGTAGTAGTAGTAGTAGTAGTAGTAGTAGTAGTAGTAGTAGTAGTAGTAGTAGTAGTAGTAGTAGTAGTAGTAGTAGTAGTAGTAGTAGTAGTAGTAGTAGTAGTAGTAGTAGTAGTAGTAGTAGTAGTAGTAGTAGTAGTAGTAGTAGTAGTAGTAGTAGTAGTAGTAGTAGTAGTAGTAGTAGTAGTAGTAGTAGTAGTAGTAGTAGTAGTAGTAGTAGTAGTAGTAGTAGTAGTAGTAGTAGTAGTAGTAGTAGTAGTAGTAGTAGTAGTAGTAGTAGTAGTAGTAGTAGTAGTAGTAGTAGGAGTAGTAGTAGTAGTAGTAGTAGTAGTAGTAGTAGTAGTAGTAGTAGTAGTAGTAGTAGTAGTAGTAGTAGTAGTAGTAGTAGTAGTAGTAGTAGTAGTAGTAGTAGTAGTAGTAGTAGTAGTAGTAGTAGTAGTAGTAGTAGTAGTAGTAGTAGTAGTAGTAGTAGTAGTAGTAGTAGTAGTAGTAGTAGTAGTAGTAGTAGTAGTAGTAGTAGTAGTAGTAGTAGTAGTAGTAGTAGTAGTAGTAGTAGTAGTAGTAGTAGTAGTAGTAGTAGTAGTAGTAGTAGTAGTAGTAGTAGTAGTAGTAGTAGTAGTAGTAGTAGTAGTAGTAGTAGTAGTAGTAGTAGTAGTAGTAGTAGTAGTAGTAGTAGTAGTAGTAGTAGTAGTAGTAGTAGTAGTAGTAGTAGTAGTAGTAGTAGTAGTAGTAGTAGTAGTAGTAGTAGTAGTAGTAGTAGTAGTAGTAGTAGTAGTAGTAGTAGTAGTAGTAGTAGTAGTAGTAGTAGTAGTAGTAGTAGTAGTAGTAGTAGTAGTAGTAGTAGTAGTAGTAGTAGTAGTAGTAGTAGTAGTAGTAGTAGTAGTAGTAGTAGTAGTAGTAGTAGTAGTAGTAGTAGTAGTAGTAGTAGTAGTAGTAGTAGTAGTAGTAGTAGTAGTAGTAGTAGTAGTAGTAGTAGTAGTAGTAGTAGTAGTAGTAGTAGTAGTAGTAGTAGTAGTAGTAGTAGTAGTAGTAGTAGTAGTAGTAGTAGTAGTAGTAGTAGTAGTAGTAGTAGTAGTAGTAGTAGTAGTAGTAGTAGTAGTAGTAGTAGTAGTAGTAGTAGTAGTAGTAGTAGTAGTAGTAGTAGTAGTAGTAGTAGTAGTAGTAGTAGTAGTAGTAGTAGTAGTAGTAGTAGTAGTAGTAGTAGTAGTAGTAGTAGTAGTAGTAGTAGTAGTAGTAGTAGTAGTAGTAGTAGTAGTAGTAGTAGTAGTAGTAGTAGTAGTAGTAGTAGTAGTAGTAGTAGTAGTAGTAGTAGTAGTAGTAGTAGTAGTAGTAGTAGTAGTAGTAGTAGTAGTAGTAGTAGTAGTAGTAGTAGTAGTAGTAGTAGTAGTAGTAGTAGTAGTAGTAGTAGTAGTAGTAGTAGTAGTAGTAGTAGTAGTAGTAGTAGTAGTAGTAGTAGTAGTAGTAGTAGTAGTAGTAGTAGTAGTAGTAGTAGTAGTAGTAGTAGTAGTAGTAGTAGTAGTAGTAGTAGTAGTAGTAGTAGTAGTAGTAGTAGTAGTAGTAGTAGTAGTAGTAGTAGTAGTAGTAGTAGTAGTAGTAGTAGTAGTAGTAGTAGTAGTAGTAGTAGTAGTAGTAGGAGTAGTAGTAGTAGTAGTAGTAGTAGTAGTAGTAGTAGTAGTAGTAGTAGTAGTAGTAGTAGTAGTAGTAGTAGTAGTAGTAGTAGTAGTAGTAGTAGTAGTAGTAGTAGTAGTAGTAGTAGTAGTAGTAGTAGTAGTAGTAGTAGTAGTAGTAGTAGTAGTAGTAGTAGTAGTAGTAGTAGTAGTAGTAGTAGTAGTAGTAGTAGTAGTAGTAGTAGTAGTAGTAGTAGTAGTAGTAGTAGTAGTAGTAGTAGTAGTAGTAGTAGTAGTAGTAGTAGTAGTAGTAGTAGTAGTAGTAGTAGTAGTAGTAGTAGTAGTAGTAGTAGTAGTAGTAGTAGTAGTAGTAGTAGTAGTAGTAGTAGTAGTAGTAGTAGTAGTAGTAGTAGTAGTAGTAGTAGTAGTAGTAGTAGTAGTAGTAGTAGTAGTAGTAGTAGTAGTAGTAGTAGTAGTAGTAGTAGTAGTAGTAGTAGTAGTAGTAGTAGTAGTAGTAGTAGTAGTAGTAGTAGTAGTAGTAGTAGTAGTAGTAGTAGTAGTAGTAGTAGTAGTAGTAGTAGTAGTAGTAGTAGTAGTAGTAGTAGTAGTAGTAGTAGTAGTAGTAGTAGTAGTAGTAGTAGTAGTAGTAGTAGTAGTAGTAGTAGTAGTAGTAGTAGTAGTAGTAGTAGTAGTAGTAGTAGTAGTAGTAGTAGTAGTAGTAGTAGTAGTAGTAGTAGTAGTAGTAGTAGTAGTAGTAGTAGTAGTAGTAGTAGTAGTAGTAGTAGTAGTAGTAGTAGTAGTAGTAGTAGTAGTAGTAGTAGTAGTAGTAGTAGTAGTAGTAGTAGTAGTAGTAGTAGTAGTAGTAGTAGTAGTAGTAGTAGTAGTAGTAGTAGTAGTAGTAGTAGTAGTAGTAGTAGTAGTAGTAGTAGTATAGTAGTAGTAGTAGTAGTAGTAGTAGTAGTAGTAGTAGTAGTAGTAGTAGTAGTAGTAGTAGTAGTAGTAGTAGTAGTAGTAGTAGTAGTAGTAGTAGTAGTAGTAGTAGTAGTAGTAGTAGTAGTAGTAGTAGTAGTAGTAGTAGTAGTAGTAGTAGTAGTAGTAGTAGTAGTAGTAGTAGTAGTAGTAGTAGTAGTAGTAGTAGTAGTAGTAGTAGTAGTAGTAGTAGTAGTAGTAGTAGTAGTAGTAGTAGTAGTAGTAGTAGTAGTAGTAGTAGTAGTAGTAGTAGTAGTAGTAGTAGTAGTAGTAGTAGTAGTAGTAGTAGTAGTAGTAGTAGTAGTAGTAGTAGTAGTAGTAGTAGTAGTAGTAGTAGTAGTAGTAGTAGTAGTAGTAGTAGTAGTAGTAGTAGTAGTAGTAGTAGTAGTAGTAGTAGTAGTAGTAGTAGTAGTAGTAGTAGTAGTAGTAGTAGTAGTAGTAGTAGTAGTAGTAGTAGTAGTAGTAGTAGTAGTAGTAGTAGTAGTAGTAGTAGTAGTAGTAGTAGTAGTAGTAGTAGTAGTAGTAGTAGTAGTAGTAGTAGTAGTAGTAGTAGTAGTAGTAGTAGTAGTAGTAGTAGTAGTAGTAGTAGTAGTAGTAGTAGTAGTAGTAGTAGTAGTAGTAGTAGTAGTAGTAGTAGTAGTAGTAGTAGTAGTAGTAGTAGTAGTAGTAGTAGTAGTAGTAGTAGTAGTAGTAGTAGTAGTAGTAGTAGTAGTAGTAGTAGTAGTAGTAGTAGTAGTAGTAGTAGTAGTAGTAGTAGTAGTAGTAGTAGTAGTAGTAGTAGTAGTAGTAGTAGTAGTAGTAGTAGTAGTAGTAGTAGTAGTAGTAGTAGTAGTAGTAGTAGTAGTAGTAGTAGTAGTAGTAGTAGTAGTAGTAGTAGTAGTAGTAGTAGTAGTAGTAGTAGTAGTAGTAGTAGTAGTAGTAGTAGTAGTAGTAGTAGTAGTAGTAGTAGTAGTAGTAGTAGTAGTAGTAGTAGTAGTAGTAGTAGTAGTAGTAGTAGTAGTAGTAGTAGTAGTAGTAGTAGTAGTAGTAGTAGTAGTAGTAGTAGTAGTAGTAGTAGTAGTAGTAGTAGTAGTAGTAGTAGTAGTAGTAGTAGTAGTAGTAGTAGTAGTAGTAGTAGTAGTAGTAGTAGTAGTAGTAGTAGTAGTAGTAGTAGTAGTAGTAGTAGTAGTAGTAGTAGTAGTAGTAGTAGTAGTAGTAGTAGTAGTAGTAGTAGTAGTAGTAGTAGTAGTAGTAGTAGTAGTAGTAGTAGTAGTAGTAGTAGTAGTAGTAGTAGTAGTAGTAGTAGTAGTAGTAGTAGTAGTAGTAGTAGTAGTAGTAGTAGTAGTAGTAGTAGTAGTAGTAGTAGTAGTAGTAGTAGTAGTAGTAGTAGTAGTAGTAGTAGTACTAGTAGTAGTAGTAGTAGTAGTAGTAGTAGTAGTAGTAGTAGTAGTAGTAGTAGTAGTAGTAGTAGTAGTAGTAGTAGTAGTAGTAGTAGTAGTAGTAGTAGTAGTAGTAGTAGTAGTAGTAGTAGTAGTAGTAGTAGTAGTAGTAGTAGTAGTAGTAGTAGTAGTAGTAGTAGTAGTAGTAGTAGTAGTAGTAGTAGTAGTAGTAGTAGTAGTAGTAGTAGTAGTAGTAGTAGTAGTAGTAGTAGTAGTAGTAGTAGTAGTAGTAGTAGTAGTAGTAGTAGTAGTAGTAGTAGTAGTAGTAGTAGTAGTAGTAGTAGTAGTAGTAGTAGTAGTAGTAGTAGTAGTAGTAGTAGTAGTAGTAGTAGTAGTAGTAGTAGTAGTAGTAGTAGTAGTAGTAGTAGTAGTAGTAGTAGTAGTAGTAGTAGTAGTAGTAGTAGTAGTAGTAGTAGTAGTAGTAGTAGTAGTAGTAGTAGTAGTAGTAGTAGTAGTAGTAGTAGTAGTAGTAGTAGTAGTAGTAGTAGTAGTAGTAGTAGTAGTAGTAGTAGTAGTAGTAGTAGTAGTAGTAGTAGTAGTAGTAGTAGTAGTAGTAGTAGTAGTAGTAGTAGTAGTAGTAGTAGTAGTAGTAGTAGTAGTAGTAGTAGTAGTAGTAGTAGTAGTAGTAGTAGTAGTAGTAGTAGTAGTAGTAGTAGTAGTAGTAGTAGTAGTAGTAGTAGTAGTAGTAGTAGTAGTAGTAGTAGTAGTAGTAGTAGTAGTAGTAGTAGTAGTAGTAGGAGTAGTAGTAGTAGTAGTAGTAGTAGTAGTAGTAGTAGTAGTAGTAGTAGTAGTAGTAGTAGTAGTAGTAGTAGTAGTAGTAGTAGTAGTAGTAGTAGTAGTAGTAGTAGTAGTAGTAGTAGTAGTAGTAGTAGTAGTAGTAGTAGTAGTAGTAGTAGTAGTAGTAGTAGTAGTAGTAGTAGTAGTAGTAGTAGTAGTAGTAGTAGTAGTAGTAGTAGTAGTAGTAGTAGTAGTAGTAGTAGTAGTAGTAGTAGTAGTAGTAGTAGTAGTAGAAGTAGTAGTAGTAGTAGTAGTAGTAGTAGTAGTAGTAGTAGTAGTAGTAGTAGTAGTAGTAGTAGTAGTAGTAGTAGTAGTAGTAGTAGTAGTAGTAGTAGTAGTAGTAGTAGTAGTAGTAGTAGTAGTAGTAGTAGTAGTAGTAGTAGTAGTAGTAGTAGTAGTAGTAGTAGTAGTAGTAGTAGTAGTAGTAGTAGTAGTAGTAGTAGTAGTAGTAGTAGTAGTAGTAGTAGTAGTAGTAGTAGTAGTAGTAGTAGTAGTAGTAGTAGTAGTAGTAGTAGTAGTAGTAGTAGTAGTAGTAGTAGTAGTAGTAGTAGTAGTAGTAGTAGTAGTAGTAGTAGTAGTAGTAGTAGTAGTAGTAGTAGTAGTAGTAGTAGTAGTAGTAGTAGTAGTACTAGTAGTAGTAGTAGTAGTAGTAGTAGTAGTAGTAGTAGTAGTAGTAGTAGTAGTAGTAGTAGTAGTAGTAGTAGTAGTAGTAGTAGTAGTAGTAGTAGTAGTAGTAGTAGTAGTAGTAGTAGTAGTAGTAGTAGTAGTAGTAGTAGTAGTAGTAGTAGTAGTAGTAGTAGTAGTAGTAGTAGTAGTAGTAGTAGTAGTAGTAGTAGTAGTAGTAGTAGTAGTAGTAGTAGTAGTAGTAGTAGTAGTAGTAGTAGTAGTAGTAGTAGTAGTAGTAGTAGTAGTAGTAGTAGTAGTAGTAGTAGTAGTAGTAGTAGTAGTAGTAGTAGTAGTAGTAGTAGTAGTAGTAGTAGTAGTAGTAGTAGTAGTAGTAGTAGTAGTAGTAGTAGTAGTAGTAGTAGTAGTAGTAGTAGTAGTAGTAGTAGTAGTAGTAGTAGTAGTAGTAGTAGTAGTAGTAGTAGTAGTAGTAGTAGTAGTAGTAGTAGTAGTAGTAGTAGTAGTAGTAGTAGTAGTAGTAGTAGTAGTAGTAGTAGTAGTAGTAGTAGTAGTAGTAGTAGTAGTAGTAGTAGTAGTAGTAGTAGTAGTAGTAGTAGTAGTAGTAGTAGTAGTAGTAGTAGTAGTAGTAGTAGTAGTAGTAGTAGTAGTAGTAGTAGTAGTAGTAGTAGTAGTAGTAGTAGTAGTAGTAGTAGTAGTAGTAGTAGTAGTAGTAGTAGTAGTAGTAGTAGTAGTAGTAGTAGTAGTAGTAGTAGTAGTAGTAGTAGTAGTAGTAGTAGTAGTAGTAGTAGTAGTAGTAGTAGTAGTAGTAGTAGTAGTAGTAGTAGTAGTAGTAGTAGTAGTAGTAGTAGTAGTAGTAGTAGTAGTAGTAGTAGTAGTAGTAGTAGTAGTAGTAGTAGTAGTAGTAGTAGTAGTAGTAGTAGTAGTAGTACTAGTAGTAGTAGTAGTAGTAGTAGTAGTAGTAGTAGTAGTAGTAGTAGTAGTAGTAGTAGTAGTAGTAGTAGTAGTAGTAGTAGTAGTAGTAGTAGTAGTAGTAGTAGTAGTAGTAGTAGTAGTAGTAGTAGTAGTAGTAGTAGTAGTAGTAGTAGTAGTAGTAGTAGTAGTAGTAGTAGTAGTAGTAGTAGTAGTAGTAGTAGTAGTAGTAGTAGTAGTAGTAGTAGTAGTAGTAGTAGTAGTAGTAGTAGTAGTAGTAGTAGTAGTAGTAGTAGTAGTAGTAGTAGTAGTAGTAGTAGTAGTAGTAGTAGTAGTAGTAGTAGTAGTAGTAGTAGTAGTAGTAGTAGTAGTAGTAGTAGTAGTAGTAGTAGTAGTAGTAGTAGTAGTAGTAGTAGTAGTAGTAGTAGTAGTAGTAGTAGTAGTAGTAGTAGTAGTAGTAGTAGTAGTAGTAGTAGTAGTAGTAGTAGTAGTAGTAGTAGTAGTAGTAGTAGTAGTAGTAGTAGTAGTAGTAGTAGTAGTAGTAGTAGTAGTAGTAGTAGTAGTAGTAGTAGTAGTAGTAGTAGTAGTAGTAGTAGTAGTAGTAGTAGTAGTAGTAGTAGTAGTAGTAGTAGTAGTAGTAGTAGTAGTAGTAGTAGTAGTAGTAGTAGTAGTAGTAGTAGTGTCATTAGTATTGGTATTAGTACTAGAGTCGTCTGTTATCCTCTTTTTAATCACTAGCTGATCAAAACACTGAAAGAAAATTTGAACGTGATGAATATGAATATTACAAAGGTAAATTGGTCCTTACTCTTGTTTCTGTATAAAATTTGTTTGTTTGTTTGTTTGTTTGTTTATATATTTTCAATTTGAGGTATTTTTCTGCTTTAACTATCATTCTCATCATATTTATTGTGATAACATTGAAAAAGGTTATAAAGAATTGAAGAATATTGATTAGTTAATTGTAAAGTAGTGAGTGATTAGAGGTAATTGAGAAGAAATTCTGTTTAACCTGGGTTTTGTGTTAATTGGAACTCATCAACAATATGTGTTTGTTGTAATTTTGAGCAAGTTGATTATTCCTTTAGGCATTTTTTCCCGTATCATCCAACTTCACAGTCAGAGATGTTATCGTCGAGCTGTTCGGTCCGTGACTGGTCTGTAGGGCTAAGATTTATTTATATGACATTGATTATTACTCAGAGATCAATCATTTGGGAATATCTCAGTTCTACCACCTTACATCTTAACATAATGAATGCGATATTAATTCCCTAGACTATTGGACACATTGAAACTTGATCGATTGAATTCGATCTGCATTAAGAAGGGTTTTACACACGTAATATTGATCACTATCTAATGATCGATCAGTTGTAAATACTTTAGTAAAGTATTGTTCCATCCCAAGGTATAGGGATGAATTTGATCAAATTGGTAGTAGTATTGAGTAGTTTTAACCAGATTTATCTGGACTGCATGTGATATAAGTCGATAAGAAAGAAAAATCATAATGTATATACACCTTTTACCATGATTTATAGATTTATAAAGGTTTGTCTATACTACTTCAGCTGGTTGTACTCCTTGGAAATATTGTGATGTCCAATATAGTCCTTCATTCTTGACAACATCAACTTAACGTTACTTGGACAGTTCATGAATTGATTCTTATGGATGACACCTTATGATTACAAATGAATCTTCGAAGACATCTGTATGCTTCCCTAATTGTCAGTATAAATCGTAGTTCCTCGTTTTACGTACTTTCTAATGATAGGTATTACGATTAAATTCATTTTTATCGTATTAAAATTGATCTTTCTGTAGAGTTCTGCTACGAACTATGAAAATCTGCTAGTTAGATTGAACACAATACTACTCATCTATTCTATCAGTGGACTCCTTCCTTCTTTACACCTCACTTTCCGGATAACAGTTTCGTCTATTTGAACCATTCGACCGACATTTTCAAGCTATAGTTTTAGAATTGACATCATTTCAAAGTGAATGTCTAATAAATTGTTGTCATTGCACTCTTGATACTCCAGTGATCCTCTGGTATCCTCATTATTCAATGAATAATTAGTACATGATCTGTCTGCATTGGTACTGCTTTCTTTATCCAATACACAGTACAGCACTATACTACCTCATCCCATGAGACTGTGCTTTTTTGTAATTATTCAGTTTTCATAACTAGAAGTAGTGATAGTTATGATTAGTCTAAAATCTTGCGAATACTGAATAATAGAATTATTGAAATTCCCAATGAATTGATCTAAAGTGATTATTTTAGTTTCAAATACACATGGCCTTTAAAACATGATTGGGTCATCAGCCAAGTATAGTTTCTTCAATTTGTTAAGCTTAGTTTTCATCAACAATTGTGGTAGGACTTACGTTTTGTTTTATCCAAACTATTTTTTTTAACTAGACACTAGAATACCTCCTTATCTTTCCATTTTACTACGGCTCTATTCAATCTCGTCTAGAAGTTCGTGTTATCCTTTACCTATAAGAACAGGCCCTCAAATGTCGAAGGTGGGGAGATTCAGCTCGCTCGCTCTCGAAATGCTCTCATATAGAAAGTTGTTGTTTACAAAATTAAGAGTAAGAAAAGCGGATGTACCGTACCTAGACTGTGTTGGTGGTTACGGAGGGTCCACCTAAGGGAGTTGGGAAACTCCAACCCCAAGCTAGTAGTACACATGGGCTCCAAAATCCTGAGGAGATAAATAAGGTATAAACTTATTCTTGGCTACTGGTTACCATGGGACTGGGTCTCCTAACTTTGCTGCACTGCCTTGTGAATTAAACCTCTTAACTTAAAGCTCGCGGAGTGGTTCTTTAAGAAGACCATCTGTTTCGATTTTTGCACCGGAACAATAATATATCCCATAGGAAATTTTTTGTGGTGCATATATATATTAGTCCCTCTTTGTACCAATGTTTATGCGTTTAAAATAAATAAATAAATAAATCATAAAAAATATACGAATAGCGTAGCGATTAGACGACAGTTGATAGCTACAAGAAGAACGTTCTATGTAGCAAAGCTGTGATTAGCATTCATTGATAGGAATTCGTTTTGCATATTTGTTAGATATAAGCTCTTTCTCCTGGTCATTCTTTTTGTGCTAACAGTTGACTGTTATTACTGAATTCATCACATGAGATGTGATTTTTTCCTTAAACATACGTTAATTATTATTATTTATCATAGGGAATCATGAATGGATTCACTAACTCATTCACATCCAGATATTCCAACATGTCAATATATATATATATATATATATATATATATATATATATATATATATATATATATATATATATATATATATATATATATATATATCGACACTGCGGTCACCTAGACTGGTGACCACATTGCAACATGATCGATAGCATTCGATCTGCACTAATAAGGACTAGACAAGCATGACATTGATCATCACCTAGTGATCAATCAATTGTGATTACATCTCAGTCCTACAGGAGGTTAGTCACGGCTCGGATAGCTCAGTGGTGACGTCTCTGACTGTGAAGCTGGGTGACACGATATCGAATCCGCCAGGGAGCACCAGTTCCCTCAAGATTACAGGTACACCTTGCTGACGAGTGCCAAATAGCACGAAACCCGGGTCCAGGGTTTCCTGTTGACTACCTCCAACCACCATCTAAATGAATCTAACAATTTCACATGTTTCTGATGTTCTATCAATATGTAATCTGATAAATTATGTTTTACTAATTAGACCACTATAATGAAGTTTTATTCTTCTCTCAATACCGGGAAAAGTCTTCAACAGGGTATTGTTAAACAGGATGAAGGACTGCGTAGACGCCCAACTTCGAGACCAACAGGCAGGATTCCGTAAGGATAGATCGTGTACAGACCAAATCGCAACTCTACGGATCATTGTGGAACAATCAATTGAATGGAATTCATCACTCTACATCAACTTCATTGACTACGAAAAGGCATTTGACAGCGTGGACAGAACAACACTATGGAAACTTCTTCGACACTACGGCGTGCCTCAGAAGATAGTCAATATCATACAGAACTCATATGATGGATTACACTGCAAAATTGTGCATGGAGGACAGTTGACAAAGTCGTTCGAAGTGAAGACCGGTGTTAGGCAAGGTTGCTTACTCTCACCGTTTCTCTTTCTCCTGGTGATCGACTGGATCATGAAGACGTCAACGTCTGAAGGAAAGCGCGGGATACAATGGACATCTAAGATGCAGTTGGATGATCTAGACTTCGCAGACGATCTGGCCCTTCTATCCCACACGCAACAACAGATGCAGGAGAAGACAAACAGCGTGGCAGCAGCCTCAGCAGCAATAGGTCTCAACATACACAAAGGGAAAAGCAGGATTCTCCGATACAACACAGCATGCACCAATCCAATCACAATTGACAGAGAAGATTTGGAAGATGTAAAAACCTTTACATATTTGGGCAGCATCATTGATGAACAGGGTGGATCTGATGCAGATGTGAAGGCGCGGATCGGCAAAGCAAGAGCAGCATATTTACAACTGAAGAACATCTGGAGCTCAAAGCAACTGTCAACCAACACCAAGGTCAGGATTTTCAATACAAATGTCAAGACAGTTCTACTGTATGGGGCAGAAACCTGGAGAACTACAAAAGCCATCATCCAGAAAATACAGGTGTTTATTAACAGTTGTCTACGCAAAATACTTCAGATCCATTGGCCGGACACTATTAGCAACAACGTACTGTGGGAGAGAACAAACCAGATCCCAGTGGAGGAAGAAATCAGGAAGAAGCGCTGGAAGTGGATAGGACACACATTGAGGAAAGCACCGAACTGCGTCACAAGACAAGCCCTCACATGGAATCCTGAAGGTCAACGGAAAAGAGGAAGACCAAAGAACACATTACGCCGAGAACTGGAGATAGACATGAGAAAAATGAACAAGAATTGGATGGAACTAGAAAAGAAGGCCCAGGACAGAATGGGTTGGAGAATGCTGGTCAGCGGCCTATGCTCCATTGGGAGTAACAGGCGTAAGTAAGTAAGTAAGTAATGAAGTTTTATATACTTCACTTTATTAAAAGGGTTTATATTTTATTTATTCTTGTCTCTTTTCATTTCTTAGTCATCTGATGTTAAGGATGGTCAATTACGTGTTGGCAATATCATTGCAGAAATTCCTAGTATTGGTGAAACAAAATATATGTATTATGCTTATGGAACTGGTATATTACTTTTGTCTACTTTCATATTATTCTTAATTAATAGATAAAAATGATATGGATATGGATGCTTTTTTCTTGAACTACCTAGAAAGGGAAATAGATTAGTAGATAGTAGTGATGTTGGTGACCTGGAAACGTGATTTCGGAACTCAACGGACAATTATTTGAAGTTGGTCATACATAACGTTTTTCTGAGTAGTATTTATTGTGTTAGCTGCGCGCTTTAAAGGTCTTGATCACTTATTCACTCTCCTCCAAATGTTAGACCACTATCATACTTATTGCAGATCAACAGTCCTCATGTCTCTTGATATTAGGGTTGTCTCTGATTTGTTGGATAGAAACATAATTTGAGATTGTCTTCTAGGGAAGGATTTTTCTGTGAAGTTTATTAATATCTTGGAATCTCCATACACAAATACCCCAGGTAGAATGAGGGTATGCAACCACCTTTCTGGATTACAGGATTAACTGTAAAATGACTTTCCTACTTTCTGTATGCTAATAAGAGTGTCTTATTGTGCGATGACACGGAACTAATTCAATTGGTACTTGGTGTTTATAAATATAGCATGTGTCTTACGCCTTCCAAATCCGAAATACTTATTCATGATTAGTAGGAAGCTGAGTGCTGGTGTTGGCGTATCATGAGATCAATCTGTGCATAGTGAAAGCCAGAATCGCTTGTGACGATCTGAACCTTCTTCCGCTCTGCTGTAATGTTAGTTTGCTTATAAGGGCTCGGGTTTACGCGTCGGTGCGAGCTGTACTACTGTAAGCTTGTAGAACCTGGTCTCTACCAGCCGAGGATGTCCGGCGATTCTATGTGTTTGATCGTCGTAGGGATGGAAGGACTTCTGACGTCCAGTGGCAACAGAATGTCAGTTTGCCAATTTGTGTTCGGGTACTGGCCTCAGTGGTTTTGATTTGTTTTATGAATATCATCCTGATGTCCACCATATGTAACATTATTTGCTGATACTGAGCGCGGAAAGCGGAGGAGTGGTAATTTCATAACAGCCTAGTTGTATATGATTGCCATCTGTCGGTCCATCACAACTCTCTATTCGGTGTCCGAGACATGAATCAACTTCAGTGGCTTGAAATATTATCAGACATGGCTCAGAGTAGAAGCCAATGACAGTTGTCTTGTTTCGTTTTTCTACGTTGTTCATAAAAATGCGATGAAGTACCGTAACCAAGAGACGTTTCTCTTGGTTTTATTTTTGTCTGAAATATAACTCCTACTATATAGTATTTTCGTTCACGTGGTTGCTTATTTTGTTTGTACTCCTGTTCTGGCATTTACCTCTTCACAATATTATCTCCTTGCTTATGTTGCTTATACCCATCTTCTGCTGTCCAGTTGTACCACACTGTCTGTATTAAATAGGTGAATTAAGTGACTTACTTCCAGTTAAGGAAATCCGTGGGGCAAGGTGAGGTGTACTATGTCAAGGGCCGAGGTCTTATTCCTTTTTCCTACTGTTTTGGGAAGACAACACATCTTCAGATTCTGCTTATCCGGTGGATTCAATTTTTGTCGTCTCATCCCTGTATAGTCGTCAGCTTGACTTCGCACTCAGATTTTATGGTTTCCTTTTGATAGCTTTTCAGCCAACTTGCTAAACATGATAGGACCTAGGGGGATAAATATTCCATTCAACGTAACTCAATTGAGCCATCGCCACGGGTAAGCTTATTCACCACATTAATTCATGGGCTACGATTGGGGAAACAGCATGAACGTCTGTAGACCAACCGGTTATTTGAAGTTTACTTATATGTTAACCTGGAAGAAACTTATTTGATCGTTATTAAATTTTAGATGTTTAACAGATTAGAAAGTTAATGAAATACATTTTGGTATAATCTGTAAGGTGATTAACAGCTCAGTTTATTTTTAGACACGAAATTTCCTAATAAAACAAACAAAATATCTGGAAATGCTTTGACGAAAAACCATTTTTGAACGTTACATTTAACTAGGTATTATTAGAAAGGTTTGACTTGTTTCATTTAACTTTCTACTCATTGTTGTATTTCGACTAACAGTAGCGACCAAGACGTGACATTCATATTGTTTTTAAGACTTCAAGTGAATTTGCCTGTAACCCGATGTTGATGTTCACATCGAGACTTGTACGAGGAAATTCAAACGCTTACGTATTATTTCCGCCGATTTTCGGAACCATAGATATTTGGATGTTTGCCTAGTTTGACTACTTTTAAATAAATAAGTAGTCAAACGTTTTTGTACAAATTAAGTTTGAGCGATTGGTAGTCCTGAATATAAATATCCAAATTCTCAGGATGCAAAATCCACCACTTCTAACGCATAATATTGTCAAATTCATTAATGTATGCCTTGTTCTGACCTTTGTAAAATATCACAGTAATTATGGAGCCTGGTAATGAAGTTGTTGAAAACAATTGTTTGCTCAAATATTCTTTGTTTTCAGATTAATAAGAACACATCCACGTAGTATTTACCTTAAACAGTGCATCTTTCTTTGACTATCTACACACTATGATCCATTGACATTCAAAATATTATGCGAGTGTATTCAAGGATTTATTGGGTGCTTAAGGGGGAGATATACTTTATTGGATTCCGAAATTTCAGAATTGGCTATATATGTCTTGACTCTATTAGGTACTGACTAGTCTCATTAATTAGAGATTGAAATTTTTGATATCTGTCACATAGTCGATATTCAGTCTATTTACAGAACAGTATCTATGTTATATATGTTATGGAGAAAAATGTGACGTATATTTTAAACAATAAAGATAGCAAACGACTTGCTGAGTGTTACATTTGAAAATTAAACCTCTAGCAATAAACTGATTTGTCCCCCTTTTTGAAAAATCCATTCTCATAACATTTTACTTCCAAGTTGATTAGTTGTTGAGATTTATTTTCATAATGTATTGACTTTCTCATTCCCTATTTTTTGTAACACTCATCAGCAAGATATATTTGTACACCTGTGGAAACTGATTGTCATTACATTTATGTCACAAGAGCACCAAAATGGTCTGTCGACAGGTTCTGGCTAGCATAAAAGCCATCTACGGCTTCCTGATACTTGCTTCTAACCACTTAGCACCAAAATAGTCATAGCTCAAAATTGATTCACTCAGGTTAGTGACTATATTGCAACTAGATTCAGTGAGCCATAACGTAGGACAAGGTACATATGCATCGGTCAAAGCCTCCATACCTCATTAGCACAACAAGATGAACACCAAATTCATAGCAGCACTTACTTCAGTGGTAGTAATATATAAAAAAAGATTGCACATAAAGATGTGATACAGGGAGGAATTAGTTCGTTGATGGTAAGGTATGATGTAATTTTCATCTCACGGTTTAAGGGAAGACAAAGTGTGTATACATTTACGCCATTATGATCGATTCTGAGCCATGTCACCCAGAGTCTCCAACCGCTGGTTACGATAGTCTTGCGAACCTCAACTAATTAGTGTGCATCTACCAACATGGATCAGACCAGAAGTTAGTGATTTTATGGATTGATGCCACGTTTTGTTTTGGCCATCCCCAGCTTTCTTCTATCCGTCTCCAACACTAATCAGCATTGCACACCGTGGTAGGCATGCGTAATATGTGGCCAAATAATCCCAGTCGATGTAGATGCACAACCTCATCAACTGATTTACCATCATTCCCTAACACCCCTCGTCTATGTTTACTATTACTTACCCGATGATCCCAGAAGATGTGGGCAATATTTCTAAGACATCTGTTATCAAATACTAGTAGCTTACGGGTATTATCTACAAATAAAGTGGAAACATCCTACCAGTAGAAAAATCAGAGAACAATGTTCATAAAGCTTTTACATTAATAATTTCCCTATGGTCACTGGTGAATCATTTCGTAAAGTGATTCTTGGAATTCAGCTATGTTGGGTTTGAAGCCCAAATAATTGCACAATTAACTTAAATTAGTAATATAAACCATCGGATCTCGACTCAGTTGTCTAATAGTCGGGCACACGCTATAAAACCTTCAGGATCTGTGTTCTATTCCCGATAGGGTCATGGATACACAAACTGTGATTAAATAGCTGTTAAGTACTTCTTAATTTTCATTAGCTTTCTGACTAGAATAAGCTCTTGATGTAAATCATAAACTTTGATAATCACATACCCTTTACTTTTATAATAAGACGTTGGTAAGTACTAAGTGGTCAGTGGATGTACATCACAAGACTGTAGTGTTCCTTATTTTCTCCAATCTACATAAAATGTTAAAATATCTTATATACTTATTTTTAAGACTCATTAGAAATTTTCGTTATTATTCTCTGGTGTGAACAGAGAAACAAGAAGCCTTGACAAACTACGGAAGCTGTTTTTCTGGACGTTATTACATTTAATGCAAAGCTTGTAAAACAGTGACATTTAGTTTTGTCCCTAGTCTATTCTACAAATCCTAAGCTTTCGTTAGATGTATGATTCACTGCCATAGCCTTTTTTGTTCCAAAGCTATTGTAATTTAAACGTATTATTTTGTACTTTATTTTCTACGCCAATCTCCAGTTTTGGACATAATTGTATTTTCCTAATTATTGTACGTTATGGTCGGGTTAGTCATCTATTTATTCATGGACCCTTTTCCACGAATCTGAAATCGGGGGATCGGGAACCAGATCGGAATTGAGAATAAATCGAGTAGTGTTCCAGTTGACTTGTTCTCTCTCACTCGCGTACTCCTCAGCCAATCAGGTGATAGGATAGTTTTCTTCTCTCTACCCCACTTCAAACTCACGCGTTCTAGCCTCATTGTTAAACCGGTCAGCCTATCGAGTCAATGTCTTAATCCAGATTAGACAAGTTATCCTCAGCACTAAAAGTGGGTAGACAGATCAAGGACGTAACATTCTCCTTGCACAATCAAACAATATTATCCCCAATTTTCATAGTAATAACGTTCAGTAAGGATGTTGTATACAGTTCGCATATAAAAAAGAAACCGAAAGAACATTTAGTAAAAGTTACATATTTTTTTCTTTAAAAAAGAAAACGAAACAAAACAAACAGTGCTCCTTAACTTGAAGAAAGATCAACACAAATAAAATCCCAAATCAAAGTTTATCATTCCTTTCTCAAATGTAAAATAATACAAATGACATTTTTGCAATTTAGATTACAATGTATGGTTTCCTTTGTTTAACTGAATGGTCCAACTAAACATAACCTTATAAAGATTACATTATGTTATCCCTTAAGTTCGTATTCTTTCCTCACTTTTGTTCTCCTTCTCTTGAAAGAAAGTAAAGTCATAACAAATTTTGTGCAAACGAGATAGATTTGTGCATGTGTTTGTGTGTGTGTGTGCACGTATGTGTATGTGTATACAAAATGTCCCTATGTACTTGTATCTATGTATTTGTGTAGAATATTTCTCATTAATTTGATTATATAAATCATTATCAAAATTAGTGCACAACCATTAATTAGGAGAACTATTCTGTTCTGTTCTGTTCTGTTTGCTTGCTTTTTCTTGTAAATATTCATTAAAGATTTGTGTTTTAAAATGTACTCCTTAAAAGTTCAATATATATATATGTATATATTACAACTGTATATGAGCTACTTCCTTATAAATATTTAAGTAGTATGTATATATCATGTACAATTTATAAAATGAGCATAATCATGTACTATAACAAACTTTACTGTGTCGTTTTAAAGTATACACTGAATTGATGATGTTAGTTTCTTTGTCATTTATGTACATGTTAGTTAAATGTATGAATAATAATAACTGAAGATTAATGAAATATAATGTATAAACGGATGAGCAGATTTATATTCTTCATTCTAACAGAATTAATAATTCGTTTTTCTGTTATATTGTCATTCTAAAAACATTAAAACAAACAAACAAACAAAAAATGGTCAGTATAGGGGAATTCTCGGAGTTTTAGTGAGAAGCCATGACCAGTAGAGCTAATCCTTGTCAGTTAGAGACAGGTATGTACCTCAGTACAGTGGAAGATGGTCGCGCAATTTCGTGGATTGGTTGATGTTAGACACCAACACCATTGGATACCGGCTCAGTGGCCCAGTAGGTTAAGCGTTCGCATGCGAGACTGAGGGCCCTGGGTTCCAACCTCGCGAGCGGGATCGTGAATGAGCACTGCCGAGGAGTCCCACAATAGGACGAAATGGTCGTCCAGTACTTCCAGGTTTCTAACGGTGGTCTAATACCAATCGGTTCATGATCTCATTCAAAAACAAAAAAATTCACATTGAAAAGAATCAAGAAATGTATATGTTAGGTATGCTGATGAATATACCAATAATTATCATGTTAAGTCTAATAGTGGCCTTGGACTTTAAATGTACACTCCCTATTGGTCAGTATTTATTCCACTTGTTAAATATTGTACAAATCTTGTTTTCTATTTTATGGTACGATGTGGTCTGTTTGTTTGGTATATAAATAGAGTATGTCTGAAATATAATGATTCATAACTCAGAGGCTGTGACTTGCGTTCTAGACTCAACTAGCTGGGCTAGACAGGGAGGCGGGACCAATCGGGATTCTAGGTCGTCCTTACGTGTTTTACGTGCCACTGTAATCGATCGATAATATACGCTGCTTATCAAAACCGTGCAATCCACCCGTTACAACAGTATAGTTAATAAATACCTATTTGATCTCTATCTGAAAAAGAATTCAAATCAATTGATTATTCGACCCTTGAACACATCATCAAATTTAAACACTTATCAACAACTAATTAAAAAAAATAGACTAAAACTTCACCCTATTACACAAGCTAACAAGTTTTAAAATCGAACAAAATGCACATGTTGGATTTTACTACTAACCATCATATATCTTTACTTAGAATGCTTGTGACTTCAGACAGTCCATACAGGATGCATATATGCTAATATGAAACTGATCAATTACAGTTGTAAACATCAATGAGAAGATTCAAATAACCAATATAAAAATGAACTAAACACTTAGTGTCAGTGGAATCAGTCTCTATATTCCATGGTGTTAACATTCATCCATTCTCTTATTTTTCATCTATTTCAGTCAGACTCATCAAGTATAAACAATTCTCTTTTATATTTGTCCCTTAACTTATGGTTTGTTTTTTATTGCTCCTGAAATAATTACGTAAATTATAGTCAATACTTAAAAACCCTTTGATAAGTCTAACTGCTTATTATTTTCTTTTAGAAATGACGTAAAATATCTTTATTTTACTATAGTCTATTGAATTCAATACTTGAAATCTCTTTGTAATCTTTAACTACATTATTATATGATGTAACAATTTTCTAATTCTTATAGACTAATATATTCAACACATTCAAATAAACACAATCATTTAACTATCCTTGATAAGATGGAGAATGTATACATCGACACCATTATGATCGATTCTGAGCCATGTCACACAGAGTCTCTAACAATTGGTTACGATGGTCACGCAAACTCCAACCAAGTAGTCTGAAATCACCATCAACATGGCTCAGACCAGAAGTCAGTAACCTTGTGAACTGATAGCACGTTATGGTTTGGTCATCCCTAACTTTCTTCCGTATGTTTCTAACACTAGTCAGCATTGCGCGTCGTCGTAATCATAGACTATCAAATGTAAAATTACCTCTAATAAGTACAGTTTGAATTATGAATATTATGTACATTTCAAATTCGAATTTTTGTCACTGACTAAAATTATTACATTTTACTAGAAAGGAAGGTCCATGACACAGTAGGTTGAAGGTTGTTGGTCGGCGGTCTATGCTTTACTGGAAGTAACAGGCTTAAGTAAGTAAGTACTAGTTAAAATCAATCTTGTAATATCTTCAAGAAACTTTGCTGGTTGAAATCATGAGTCAATTGAAGCTAGACCACCATGGAAAATCCTAGTACAGGACTCCTCGGCAGTGCGCATCCACGGTCACGCCCCCCGTGAGATTTGAACCCAGGACCTACCAGTCCCGTGCCAGGCGCTTAACCAACTAGTCCATTGAGCCGACGGTGTTAATGTTTAACTTCAACCAATCCACGAAGTTGCGCCACCGTACACCATTGTCTTCAGTGAGTCCCTATCTCATAACCGACCTGATCGAACTCCACTGGTAACTGCTTCTCACTAGAACTCTAGGTGTATCTCTCGAAGTCAGTCACTAGTGAGCAAAACTTCGTCAAAAAATATCTATCTTTCTACATCATATTCAATTACTTATATTAGCACCTTTTAATACATTTCAAGAATCTACATACTTTTTTTATCATTATTTCAATGATTGTTGTACAAATTGTGATTGTATTTGATTATGTTGTAATTCATTTGTATCTAATTGTATTGTTTCTATTACTGGATTTATTGTACAATTAGGATTATGATAATCTATACCAAAATAAATAGTATCATCAAATGTAGATAATTTTTTATATTGAGATTGTAATGATAAATGATTAGATTTATTATTTATAAATTGTACATTTTTTATTGTACACCATTGATTATTATTTGGTTCATTAGTTGAATTATTATTATTATTATTGTTTTGAAATAGTATTACATCATCTTGGAGTTGAATTGAAGAATGGGGATAAGAATCTGTTAATTGATCTGAACAATATATTACTGAATTATTATTATTACTACTACTGATATTTGTTGTTGAATATGATGATGTAATGGATTCATGAATATTGCTCATAGTGCTTATACTCATATTATTGTTATTTCCATAATTATGAGTATCATTATTACTAATAGTAGTGATAGTGCTAGTAGTAGTAGTAGTAGTTGTTGTTGTTGTATTACTACTACTGTTGATACTACTTATCATTGTATGTGTTGGTTCCAATATAAACGCTGTTGTTGTTCTATTCAACAATGGATAATCATCATTTTGTTTAGAATTTTCTATCGATTTAAATGATGTAAATGTATTCGATGCAGTTATTGGTAATGTAGTATAACCTTTTAATGTATAATAATTAGATAAATTTTGTATTATTTTATTATCAGTAAATAATGTCTCATTTAAACATGAACAATGACTTGGAGTAGCCATTGTAGATGATGGTGAAATTTGATAAGGTTGTAATTGATATTGTGATGGTTGTTGATGTTGTTGACATTGTGAATGATAAAGTTGATGTTGTTGTTGTTGAGGATGAAGACGATGACGATGATGATGGTGATGTTGATGCAATGTTAGATCATGAGGTAAAGATCTTTGTAATAATAAAGGATTAACATATGAATGTTCATTTAACCAATATTTACAACAATCTTTAATATCCATTGTATATGGTTGATTATTATTATTACTACTACTATTACTATTACTATTACTACTACTACTAGTATTACTAACACTACTATTATTATTATTATTATTATTATTATTATTATTATTATTATTATTATTATTATTCGTAATATGATTATCAACTGTTAAAAGACTTTTGAATATTTCATTATCTATTTGTTGATCTGATTGACATTGTGGTTTATGAATTATATATTGTGATATAGATGATTGTTTAATTGGATTATAATAATTTTTATCTATTTCTGTACAATGATTTTGTTTGATTGTTATTGATTTTGATTGTATTAATGAATTTCTTGTTTGATTTAAATGATGACGATATTTACGTGCTAATAACATACCCATTAAACCCATTAAACAAGTTAATATACCAATTAAACTCATCATTAATAATATATGTAATGTATTTGAACAATATAATTCTCCACAAATTCTTGATGTAACTAAAAATTAAAACAAAATGTTATAATTTATTAATTGAATGGTACTTGTTATATCTGGTCAATGCTGATTATTATGTCAGAAACTCTTATCATTTATATTGGAAACAAGAGACTTTTACAATTCCCACGATACGAAAGTAAGAACACAAATACTAGTATAAGTGAAGATTTATTAACCCTAAAACACAACAACGACGACGACGACGACAACGATAGTCAGTAATACATTCATCATCACATTGAATCAAAACGAAATTAATGTTGAACAAAACTCATCATGAGTAAATCAATCGAGTTTTGACTTTTCTTTCCGTCATATCACAAAATATAAGATGAAACACACAATGAAGAAGTATATTTTATCATTGGTAATAGTTAAATTCAATTGATATGGTTTACTCATATCTTTCGATTGATGTTTACGACTGCAAATGATCAATCACTAATTGGCGTATATGCATCCTGTGAGGATTAGCTCAATATTGCCTTAAATCACAAGCATTATAAGTAGAAATGGATAATGGATAGCAGTGAAATTAAGGACATGCGTTTTGTCTTATTCGGGACTCGTCAGCTGTATGTACCTGCATCTTAGATTTGACATTCACTCGGCTACTCGAACCCAGTATCCAGATAAAATGAAACGCGCATCCTGGATTCTACTGCTAGCTACTATCCATCTTCGTTTATAATGCTTGTGAATTAAGGCAGTACGCACAGCATGCATATATATCAGTAAGAGACTGATCAATCGCAGTCATAAACATATATGGGAAGATCCAAGTAACCAATACTAAGTAAATTTAAACTTTACCCTATTGCACAAGCAGGTGATTATCAGGACGCAGTAGCTAAATGGATAACGCGATGGCGTTTGAAGCGAACGGTAGTGGATTCAAGTCCCACAGTGAACATCAACTCTGAGAATGCAAGTACTTCCAGCTGACGCGCGTCCTGGATTCCACACTGTATTCTTTCTTCGTCATTTATAGTGTCTTGTATACAGTATAATATTTCACTAACTTTAAAAGTCGTTTATTCATAGTCAAAACAAGGTCTGGTAGATATATATATATATATATTCTTACCACATAGAAATAGTCAGATAGGAAAGAGATTTGAAAAACGAGGAGTATTAATGGTAGTAAGAGAAAAATCAACTGAGATAAAATTAAGGAAAATAAAGAATTAATGAAAATGTAGAATAAGTAAAGTTTCATTATTGAGATCAACTTTAATCTATGTCACTTATACTCTCAAACTGAAAATTATGATTATCAAGTTAAAAGCATACAAAAAGTCTATATCTTACTATTCGATTCAGGTGAATAAGTGTTAGTTTAATACTTCTTACCCTCTTCCAACCGATCACTGCGTCCACTAGTGATGTACTTTGCTGTATAAGGTAGTTGAGCATAATTAATATACGTCAAAACCAGTTTAAGGTAGTTTGAGTAGAATAGACAGAATCTAGCTAGTAGTGGATTCCAGGGTGCGCATTTTATCCTATTCGGGGCTCGTCAGCTAGTTGTATCCACGTCTCAAAGTTGATGTTTACTCCGATATTTAGATCAAGTATCTTTCACTTCAAACTCTAACACGTTATCCATTAAGCTACTAAGTTCAAATGGCTACTCACTTGAGCAACAAGTATGAAATTCTGATGTTCCTGACTATTCCGTTATTGGCATTTTGACTTAAATTTTATCATTCTAGGCTAATGAGTCCTAACTAAGACGAAGCGCGCATCCTTGATTCCACTAAAAACCACATTCCATCTTTCCTATATAATCTTGTGTCATAATGGCTATATCGAAGCATTGTGCACAGGATGTATATATGTCAACTAAGAACGACTAGAGTTCAGTTAAAATATCAACAACAAGACAAATGAAAACTCTTACGAATCTAATTGATAATTAATATTAGGTCAGTTACTACTATTAGAAGAACGATTTCCCATTACCAATAAAAATGTCCATCTAATAAAATAAGACTTCACAATAACTATTTTGTGTATTTTATTAAATCTTTGAAAGAGAAATACTAATGAAATTACTTATTAAACTATAGACGAAAATTTGCACAGGACTTGACTTGAGTTCCCATAGCTGTACAATAATTCTTGGTTCTCAGTCGTCTTTTAACTAAGATCAGTTTGTGATTTAAACTGTAACATAAAGTTTACTGCTTGTTAGGTAAGTTTAATACACTTCTGTTTAACAACAATAATCAATTAACTTCAACAAATTTGGTGGTTATATTTTCAAACCAAGATCATATTGTGTTTTATAGCTGGATCATTTAATTACTAAGTTATAGCTCTTTTCTGGTTATCTAAAATAATCTAGTTCTGTTTAAATTTTGAAGTTTTCTGACGAAATATTTAAATCAGAATGAAGATTCGTGGAGGTTGTAGTAATTTTAACGAATGAATTCATGAGTCTTGCGTATGAGATAATAGATGCGCATTATTGAGGAGTCCCATACTAGAACGAAACGGTCGTCCAGTGATTTCAAGTTTTCAATAGTGGTATAGCTTAAACTGACTCATGAATTCAACTAGTAAAATACATAAGTACCAAAAAAAGTTTATATTAGGCTGTTTTTGACTTCTTTCTTTAACTACTTATAAAACTGTTATGCTGGACTTTCAATGTTATTTTGTCAATATAATATTCCTAATGCATTTAAATTAAAACAAAAAAATCTGATCAATGTTCAATTGAAGACATACCTTGTTTTTTCACTGGTAACTGACTACTTGGAATACTTTCAATTAAATATAATGGTATGGAACGTTGTATAATTCGTAGACTTGGTGGCAGAAATGTTATTCGAGGATTATTCAAACTTGATGTAGTTGAATCGCACGCAGAAGGCTATATTTATATGACAATGAAAATTACAATTATGATATAGTTAATAGATTAAGAGTTATTCTAATCGATGAGAACACCTTGAGTAATATTTCAAAATTAAATCGTTTAAAGATCGTAATCCTCACATATTGATTTCCATAGGGGTACCATTGCAAATCAGGGAGCACTGGGTTGTTGTTGTGTCTCAACGTGGGACTCCTCAACTGTATTGATCCGTAACTGATGGAACCCAGAAACGTAGAGAGTGAAACTAATGTCACGTATGCCACGGTATGATCATTGTACTATATCGCAAACTGATTGTAAGTGTAATCATAATGCTGGAAGTAGACCAAGTTGTTCTAATGGTTTAGTGCTTGCCACGAAACTCAAAATTCCTTGATTTGAAGGCTACCTTGGTCCTGGCTCTACCCTGCTGAGGAATCTCATACTAAAATAAAACAGTTGTCCACTGCACTCTGGTTTCTAATTTTAGCCAAGTGAGGTCAGTCTACGACAGATTAAACCTAAGATATAAGCTAATCTTGACAAAATATCAAATGAAATAATCTATATTTTCCCATTTTAAATAAACTTATACCAATTTGATGCAAGACTAAGAAAACGTAGGACAGTGAGTACATTCGCTCTGTAACAAATCAATCAATGTTCTTCAAATATCTACTCAAACATTTACATTGGAAACTAAACCAACCTAAATAAGTCATTAGGTTTAGAGTAGTGTATTGAGCTAAGAGCTATGAGTTAATTGAAGCTCTTGAGAAACCTACTTCGGTACCAAAACTCTAGCGTATGGAATGACTGGAATCTATGACACATTGAATGAGAGAATTAATCAGACGATGGAAATATAGTTTCAGAAAATTTCGAAGTCTGATTGAAATGACGATAATGTCAGTTGTATTGCTTTCATAAGGTCCTAATTCTTGATAAGTATATATTCGATTTTCTACCTTTTTTTCATAATAGTTAATTAAAAATGTTCCTATATTTCATTGATCCCATAGAAACAGAGAAAACCGTGGAGATTTCTTTCTGATTTCCGGAACAATATTTCCAGTGTTATAGTGAATTATTTTCATGATGCAGTTTATTATTAAACATCCGGAAGCACATATAATAAAATATGTTTTTATGATAGGGATTAGAGATTAGTCATTTTAAACCATTAAATGTTCTCCCACTTTTGGCTTCATATCCTTTATCTTTATAATATATGTATATAGTTAAAACTATCGGAATCCTCAGAGAATTCCCCAATGAAATTATCAAAATCCACAGTAGAACTGAAAACATTTCGTTTTTGGTAAGATACACTGCAAAAATGTTTAGAAAACTGACATATTATATGTCGTATGTTAATTGTATGATAAATTACGCTGCTATTACATTTGAAATACTATCGACATTTCTCGATGGTCAAAGATTTTCAGCAGACTTATGAAAATACGATTATTTTCTGTATATAAACGAACCTTGCAGTAAAGTTAGTTTGGTAACTCAATGCATTTCTTTGTACTGTTTGAGTTTTAAATATGGGAAAATTCCAAGGATTTAGAAAGTGACTAAAAAGTCAGTATTAAACATTTGTGTAACAGACTTAACAGAGCTTATTCACATTTGACTGCATTACATAATCACGTAAACTGAAAACATCATAAAAATGTGTACAACTGAACAACGACAAAACTTAATATAGAATTGTTACAATGAATAAGATATAAAATTGCACCTCAAGTGGATCCT